ACTTAGCCCCATTACCATCACATTCTGCTCCTGTCCTCCAGACCCTCCAGTTGCCTAGAGGAGAGACTACATTAAGATCCATTGGTACCCCAGTTCTAGGATGCTTTAATTTGACATGCTTATTCTCCTCAAGTATTAGATTCCTTTTGGACTTGATGTCTTGAATAAAAGCATTGCCTTTTATCATACCGTGGGAGTAATTCTTAATCTTCAATTTACCCAAACCTCTCTATCTGCCATGCTAACAATTTTACCTCCTAATATCACTATTAATTATATGCCTCTCTTTATCTTGTTGACCATGGTACAGACAATTTCATTCTCCTCTGAAATACTACCATTGCTTCTTCATTGATATTTCTGCTTCTCTTCTCATCCATCTCAAATTTACCTCCAGCTGGAACCCTTTAAGGGACTCTGCACTGCTCCCATGAGAATATTAACCTGCAGCTTCACCTGCCTTCCTAATGCCGTCTCCTTATCTCCTCACTCATCCATTAGCCACACTGACCCTCCTACTGCTCTTGTTACTTTTTATTGATTTTATTTTTTAATACATGAAAGGGGAATGCATTACAATTCTTATTACGCATATAGAGCACAATATTTCATATCTCTGTATATAAAGTGTGTTCACACCAATTCATGTCTTCATACATGTACTTTGGATAATAATGTCCATCACATTCTACCATCATTGCTAACCCCCTGCCTCCTCCCTTCCCCTCCACTCCTCTGCCCTATCTAGAGTTTGTCTATTCCTCCCTTGTTCCCTTTTCCTACCCCACTATGGGTTAGTCACCTTATATCAGAGAAAACATTTGGCATTTGTTTTTTGGGGGGATTGGCTAACTTCACTTAGCATTTTCTTCTTCAACTCCATCCATTTACCTACAAATACCATGATTTTATTCTCTTTTATTGCTGAGTAATATTCAGTGTATATATGCCACATTTTTAATCCATTCAACTACTGAAGGGCATCTAGGTTGGTTCCACAGTTTAGCTATTGTGAATTGTGCTGCAATAAACATCAACATGGCTGTGTACCTGTAGTATGCTGTTTTTAAGTCCTTTGGGTATAGTCGGAGGAGAGGGATAGCTGGGTCAAATGGTGGTTCCATTTCCAGTTTTCCAAAGAATCTCCATACTGCTTTCCATATTGGCTGCACCAATTTGCAGTCCCACCAGCAGTGTGTGAGTGTGCCTTTTCCCCCACATTCTCACCAACACTTATTGTAGTTTGTCTTCATAATAGCTGCCATTCTGACTAGAGTGAGATGATATTGTTACTTTAAGGCACTCAGGGTTTTTTGCCTTTTGTCACTTCCAGTTCTCTTCCTCTATCCCTATTCTCCAGTAGGCTAAGATGATTCATCCTCTAAGTCAGCAGCGGTGCTTTCTTCCAGGAAACAGTTCATGAAGCCCTTCTGAGATGAGGCATTTTGCCGTCACTTCTGTATTACCTCTTAGAAATTTCTGTCAAGGCTTTTTGCTTTGTTTTGTGAATGGTATTTTCTCTCTTGCCTACCAATTGTGAGACTAGGCATTTTTATTCGAGTTTGTTTTATGTTTGTACTTCCAGACAAATACCAAAGGATCTCTCCTATTTATAGAATCTAAGAAAGTCGAACTTTAAAAAGCAGAGAATAGAATGGCAGTTTTTTAGAGACTCGGGGGTAGGGGATGGGTAGAGAAAGGAGACTTGTTGTTCAAAAGGTTTGAAGTTTCAATTAAACAGGAAGAATATGATTTGAGCATGGTGATCATACTTAATAGTAATGCATTTTATATTTCAAATTGCTAATAGAATATATTTTAAGTGTTGTCAACACAAATAACAAGTGTGTGAGGTAATGGATATTTAATTAACTTGTTGCAATCATTCCACAAAATGTCCATACATCAGCATATCACCTGAGGGGTGGGTATGTAGCTAAATGGTAAAGCATTTGCCTAGCATGTGCAAGAACCTGAATTCAGTCTCTAGTACTGCAAAAACAAACAAATAAATAAATGAAAAAGCACACCACCTTGTGACCCAATAAATACAATTATTGTTGATTAATAGCAAATTTAAATTAAAAATAAATTAATTTTAAAATAGTA